ATCAGGGGGTTTGGGCACTGCCCCTTGTCATGCTGATCCCGATGCCAGGAGCCTTGCTGCTCTGCTGATCCCGGTGCTGGAAGGCATATTACCCTTTTACTATATAGGATAGAGTCCTGGTGCACGGGTGGGGGCTGGCTGGTTTGCCCTGAAGGGTGTCCTGGATCAGGGTGGGGGTCCCCACTGGGGTGCCTGGCCAGTCTGGCTGAGGGGCTGAGGGCTGTTTTCCGGGTGGCGAGTGACTGGAGCTCCCAACCGCTCCTTGTTTTCTTTCTTTCTTTTTTTTTATTCTGGGCCAGCTTTAGCTCTGAGGCCTCGCTGCTGAAAACATTGATACAAAGTTTCGGTCTGGCTGGGTTTCAGTCCGGCTGTTTTCTGGTGTTTTGTTTAGATTCTTATTTGCAACATAGTACATAGTTGCTTAGAGTTGCAACTGAGAGGCCGGCAGCGGCAGGCGGGGAACGTTGGAGTCCGCAGCAAGCAAGCTTCCCTGCTCGCTTCAGTGCCTGGCTGCCAGCCGCCATCTTGGCTGACAGTTAATTTGCATATACTCACTGATTAGCCAATGAAAAGGGTAGCGGTCGTACGCTAATTAGCATGTTTCTCTTTTATTAGTGTAGACTAGGGGCCCGGTGCACGAAATTTGTGCACGGGGGGTGGGGTGTAATTAGCATGTTTCTCTTTTATCCTCTGTCATGTTCCGGGACCCCGGCCACTCCGGGCCTAGGTGCAGGCCTACAGACTTGGGGCGGCCTGGCGACCCAGGCCCCCAACCACTCCTTCAGCGAGGCCAGGGCAGTCGGGAAGCTTGGCTTCCTCCGTCGGTCGCCGGGGGCAACCCAAGCCTCCAGCTCCGTGGCTGCCGCCATCTTTGTCGGGTTAATTTGCATATCACTCCAATTGGCTGGTGGGCGTGGCTTGAGTGCAGCAGAGAGGTGGCTAATTTACATATTTCTCTTTTATTATACAGGATAGATATCAAAATCAGTATTTTACTGGTTGTGTGAAATAAAGAAAATGCCAGTGTAGATTCTACATTATCTCTAGAAAGAAACTCAAACAAGTGATTATCCCTAGAGAGGACCTACATGGTTTTAAAGTTGCTCAGAACTGCATGTTAATGGTTCTAACACCTTTACTGTCTTGTCCTAGGATTTTGCCTAAGTGTTACCTAACCAGTTTGCCATAGCTGGTTTTTATTTAAAAATGGGTCTTAATAGTCCTAGCTGGTTTGGTTCAGTGGATAGAGCATCGGCCTGTGGACTGAAGGATCCCAGGTTCAATTCCAGTCAAGGGCACATGCCCGGGTTGCAGGCTCGATCCCTGGGGATCGAGCAGGAGGCAGCCAATCAATGATTCTCTCTCATCATTGATGTGTCTATTTCTCCCTCTCCCTGAAATTAATACAAATATTTATTTTTTAAAAATGGGTCTTAATATTCTAGGTGAAATTTCATTGTTCCCTTCATTTATTTATATCTTTGAGTTAAAGAGTGGATAACAGTGTAACTGCTTGTTAACCTTAGTTTTATAGTATCTGTTAATATTGTAGTTAAGCTGCAAAGCTACTTTGGTTATACAATACTCAGTATTACCAGTGGGGGATACGTACCAAGATGTATCCAGTAGACGCCTGAAACTGCCAATAGTATGGAACCCTATATGTATACTATGATTTTTCCTATACATACATACATATGATAAAGTTTAATTTCTAAATTAAGCACGGTAAGAGACTAACAATGACTCATAAAAAATAGAGCAACTCTAACAATATACTGTAATAAAAGTTATGTGCATGTTTTCTCTCACTTTCTCTCTCAAAATATGGAATTATTGTGGATAACTGAAACCACTGAAAGTGGACCAGTGGATAAGGAGGACTTCTGTAGGGAACTTATTCCTTCAAACATGCCATATCAACATACATGTGTACAAGTAAAGGTAGAGGGTAAATGATAAATTTTCAGACTTTGACAATTTTTCCCAAACAATATGATCTTTCATACTAAAGGTATCTTCTAGGAGAGCAAACAATAAATTTTCCCTTGTTGGATAAAGCCCAAGGGGAAAGGGGGGTAAGGAAATTTTCCTTGCCTCTAACAACTTTCATCTGATACATAGTTTCATTTTGCTGTATTTCTGGCCAGTGGGAAAAGAAGCTAACTAGAGATGCTGATTTAAGTTCTTTTCCTCCTCCATTTATTTGTTCTAGTGTCACAAGT